TTTAATTTTATGAAATAAAAATATTTTATGATTCATATAATAAATGGTTACACCAACTGATAGTATATTAAGATTATAAATTATATATGTAGTTCAATCTCTCTCTCTCTCTCTCTCTCTCTCTCTCTCTCTCTCTCTCTGCGATTCCAAAATCCCCATCTCTCTCGCCGACTTCAATTCGTCCTCGTCGCCCTCCTCTCAGCCTCCGGTTGGCTGGTAATCGTTCCCTCGTCGTCGGCCCTGCCCACTCGCTGCGACGCTACTCGTCACCGGTGTTGATAGCACTTGTGGTTGCCAAATGATACTCGCCCTCTCTATCAGGCGGGCTAGGGTTTGCGATTGCAAGCCTTCTCGGCGCGGTGGAGGGTCCAAAGGTCGTGGTGGGTTGGGTTAGGGTCGGTTTCGGCTCTGGTTGGTTACCTCCTAGGGTCGAAGCGCCTTTGGCTACTCAGATGCCCTCTCTCCGAATGGATGGACTTTTGGGCTTGTTCTTTTCGGTCGCCGAGGTATGCCAGGGTTATGTCAGTTTGCTCTGTTCCTTTTCGCCGGCGGAAGGGTGATTGTAGGCTGCGGCGAGCCTTCGATTGAAGCCTGGTCGGATTTTCCAGACTCGATTGAGGGTGAGTTTTCTCTCTTTGCCGTTCTTGTCTCGGTTCTGTTTTGTTGCGACTGGCGGAGCTCTGTGCTTCTCTGTTCTCTTTGATATTGGGTGGAGCCCTAGGGCTGCGGCTTACTGTTGGGAGACAGGGCTTGGTTCGTGCGGTTCGGAGTTGGTTCCTTTGTTTCTGAGGTGGCTTTGTGTCTTCGGGATGGTGGGCTAGGTCTGAGGCATTGAGATTGTCTCCCTTTTCCCGGTTCCGGGGGCTTACCGATCTTTCAGAGTCCGCTAGTGGTGTTAGGGGGCACGCTCTTGCGGTGTTGGGAGCTTTCTCGGTGTTTTTCTGGCGTTGGGAGAATCGGCTTTGGGTGGGATTCGTAGTATGAGTTTCGATTCAGCTAGGTAGATTGGCAATGGAGGGGTCGCTCTTCTCATGCTGATGAATCTCCCTGGGTTGATTTGGCGGTTGCTAGTCTGGGTAAGATTTGCTATAGAGGGAGGGCTTGTGTGTTTTATTTACTTTTTCAGTGTCTTCTTGTGTTAGTTTTTGTTTGTATATTGTGATTTTAGTCTGGGTCGTTGGCCCCTGTGAGCCCGAGTGTCAAACTTATTATCCTGTTGGGATTCGACACTCGGGTATTACCCTGTTGGGGTCTTTTTATTTTTTTTTAGTGGTGTTTAGTTGTGTTTGTTGGTTAGTTTAGTCGTGAGGTTTATTCTACCTTTGCTAGTCGGGATTCTAGGCGGTCTTCTGACCTTCCTCCCACTTTTTCAGCTGTTGGCTGCTGTGTATTCAATCGTTGGCTGCTGTGTATTCGCACATTTGTGTATTTTGATTTATAATATTATCTATCGTTTCGGGAAAAAAAAATATATATGTAAAGATGAATTAATTATTTTTACTTTATGCATATTGATGAAAAATAAACATATAATTTAAAAAATAAGATTACTTTATTGATTATCAATTTAAATAATTTTTTAGCATTCAATATTTTTTTGAAAGGCACAAAAATAAAGATCGATATTCTAAAACTTTTGTTATATTTGAATTGAGATTTTAGAAACATAAAGAAACCGAGATTTTAATGCTGTTCGTTGGTTCTAAGGAAAAAATAAAAATAAAAACATACACGCTTAATAGATCTTAGCTGGATTTTTTAAATAATAAAATGAACCAAAACCGAAATTTAAGGTGGCATTTAATGATGTATGATTTTTTTTTTAAAAAAGAAAAGTAATAAAACTTACTATTTATGGGCTGCATTCAACTCTGACTTTTTTTTTGCTAATATTTTTGTTAAATAGATTGTCTCTTTATATGTATATATATAAAATAAAAAAATATTGTTAAATTTAGTTAAGAAGTAGAAAAAAAGAATCCACAAATTTAAGGAAAGATCATTTTTGAAAAGGTTGATCAATCATAGGGAAAGATCAATTTAAAAAAAAAAAA